ACAGTAGATTGCATAATAAATATTTATTGAGAGAATACTATTAATGAGAAAGAAAGGCTGAAATAATATACATCAAAAATTTAAAAATCAGATTATAGAATAAGTAATGGTTGTATCTTCATTCTTTTCTGTATTGTAATAATATTTTTGTACAATACTCATGAATTGCTTTTATAATCAGGAATAAGAGCAAAAAGAGCTAGTTCCACTAAGAAGAAAATATATAATTATTTGGAAAGAAATACTGTCATGGGTCAAAAAGAAGTCATTTGCATGAGTTAAGTCTACATCAGTTCTAAATTCAGGTGGCTGTAAATTCACACAAAGAACATGAATATTCAGGTGTCAGGACAGTAAATAAGGACTTGGTTAACACCAAGATTTAAGACCTGGCTGAGACACTCAGTACTTTGCTTTTCTTTCCTTCCTGGGGACAAAGAGGAATGTCTGAGGAAAGCACAGAAATTTAGGGAGTCTGGAAAATGGAAATGCTAGTAAGGTACTTGTTGATGAACTCTTTCCCTCACACTCATTTTACAAATTTATAGTAAGATTCCTGAGGACATCATTACAACCACATCTTACCTTCCATCTACTTCTACCTCCATGTTTTTCTGCTTTCTTCCCTCAACCCACCCTCAAAGATGGGAACTTTGCTCTCTTCTCAGGTTCCTTCATGTCCCTCCTGGTTTCATTTGGTTCCTTTGATGACTGGACCTCATGTTTCAAGGATGCAACAGTCAAAAGCAAGGAACATGATTGCAGACAGCCACATGGATCATTCTTAAAAATATAGCATTGGATGAAAACTAAAAATTAAGGAAAAATTCAATGTATTTTAAAAGATAGTTTATATAAATTTAAAACATATACATTCACATGTATCTCTTAGGTTATTTACATATATAAAGACACATATTAAACATTTGAGAGGGCGCCTAATGGGAGAGGAGAATGAGTGTGGGCATAGAGGATTGTCAAAGGAAGGAAGGAAGAAAAAAATGGCAGTGCACATTTTTAAGGACAGAAAACAGATTTTACGCCAAATGTTTTAAATGTAAATGAAGGGGTATTAATAAAGGGAGTATTTATATTGGTATAAGGAGGGCAAAGGTAAAAAAACAAAGGAAGGAAATGTGTATTGGTTTTCTGTTGTTGCTCCAACAAATTACCACCAATTTAATGGCTTATAACAATATAAATTTATTATCTTATAGCTTTGTAGGTAGGTCAGGAGACTGGCATAGATCTCAATGGGCTAAAATCAAGCTGGTAACAAGGTTGAATTTCTTCTGGAGGCATCAAAAGAGAATTTGTATTTTGCCTTTTTCAGCTTCTAGAAGCTTTCTACATTCTCTGGCTCATGGCCCTCTTTTTCCATCTTTAAAGGCAGCAACATCTAATCTCACTCTGACCTTCTTTTCATAGTCAGTGTCTTTCTGACTACAGCTGCTTTTAAAGACCCATGTTACATTGGGTTTACCCAGATAATCTAAGATAGTTTACACATTTCAAGGTTCACAATTTAATCACATCTGTAAAGTTGCTTACCATGTAAGGTAACATACAGGTTCCAGGGATTAAGATGTGGACACATTCGTGAGACCATTATTCTGCCTACACCTGAAGGAAATAGAAGGAAGCCATTACCATCCTAAGGCCTGAAGGGCCATGGTGGGGAGGAAATAGTATTAAAGGAGCTGGAACCTAGGAACTGTCTGAAAGGTGCTGCAGTGAGGAAGGAGACAATCATTGCTAGACACTACTAAAAGTACAAAGTACATGGGGGCAAAATACACGGCCTCTTTTACCTCATTCCCATACTCCTGCAAGTGCCTTTCATTGGACAAAACTAACTAGAAACCAAGCAGCAATGGAGCTTGGGTAATGGAGTCTGCAATGGTTGGTTTCCCAAAGCAGACAGAGAAGGATGATATCTGATATTAGCAGGTGTAGGGACTGAGAAAGAGTTCAGGGAAGCAAATTAGGAATAACCAGAACATATGCCCTAAACTGGGAAGAGTGATACTTCCAATTCTGTGAGCTTGGTATCCAAAACGACAAATGAATGCTGTTCTAGACACATTAGCTGCTATTTCAAAGCAGAATCGAAAGTGCAAGAGAGGGCGACGTGGAAGAAATGTTTCTTGTTTTTGTTTCTTAAAATGAGCAAGGAAATATTTGGAACAAGAAAAATCATTATGCAGGTTATAGCACATGTCACTCCTCATTCCTTACCTTTTTGCACAGTGGAGCCAGGTAGAGATCACTAAAGCAAAAGATGATGGAGAAGTGGAGAGAAGTGCAGGAAAGAGAATGAAGAAATGGCAAGAATAGCGGCAGATTAACATCTGTGTGGGGGCGCTTTTTTAAAACAAATCTTTTCCAAAGTGGTGCAAGTAGCAAAAAGTCCTTGTTACAATGTCAGTGTATAATTTTGACTTGAAGTTTACATTAATTTATAAAGTGCTGAGAGTCTGTGTGGCTGGAACAAGATCTTTTACTCTATGAACTGCTAATTTAACTATGAGCTGGATTCCATTGTGAATCCCTCTCAGAGGTATCGCTTATAAGACTATTGCTCTTGACCTCTGATTTTATTATTTTTAGAGGACACTTGGCCCCATTTGCTATCCACTTCATTTTATATCCAGGCTGTAAATTCCTCCTAAGCCACAGTTCCTGTCTGATTTTCCAATCATACCTGGCTAGGAAGTAAAATTTGACAGACAATGCGAAAAGGAAGCAAAAGCTCTTCCTGTTACATACACACTGTTGGTCTAATACCATCCACAAAGCAACTCAAAGCCATTCAGAGGCTCCAAGGGTTTGGAACCATTCTCATGTGTAGAGTGGTGCCTCTGAAGGGCACTCAACTGGCAACAGCTGGTCCTGGGACTTTCATACATACAACCAGTCCAAGAAGCTCAAAATCAAGGCCAGTCTGTGAAGGAGGTGGAAAGTACAGATAGGGCAGCCAAACTACATGCTAAAATCTGAGATAAAACAGAGCAAAGAGTCAGAAGATCTTAGTTCCAGCTCAGGCTTAGACAACTTGAACAAGTCTTGTAATTAGTAAGTGGCTTGGTTTACATCAGGGTGTCTAGCATTTAGCCCATAGAGTAGATTGCATTTATTTTGATTGAGTATTTACTACGTATCAAGCACAGTAAAAAGCCTATTTAATCCATCTTAATAAACATGAAGTGACTTCTATTGGTATCTCCACTTTAAAGATGGGCATGAATGTGAGAGTTTAAGTGACTATGGCACAAATTAACATTGCTAAGTGATGGAAGCAGGATCCCCACACCCCAGAGCCTGAAGGTTTAACCATCATACAGCAAATACAATACATTTGACCCTAGAAAACATTCCTCCTGAGCTTTTAGTGGTAAAAAAAATGACCAAAAAAGAAAGAAAGAAAAATATATTCCTTAGTTTGCTCACAAAAACAACAAAGGACTAACATTACACAAGTAAAGAATTTTTTAAGTTTAACCTACTATGGAAAAACCGAGTTCACTTGCTACATAAATGGCCCTAGTAATGCAGGCATTATTCAAATGTTATTTTTATTTTTAATAGCTTTACTGAGGTATCATTTTAAAAACATAAAATTCACTTATTTTTCGAGTACAATTCAATAGTTTTTAGTAAATTTACAGAGTTGTGCAGCCATCACTACTATCTAATCCTGAACAATTTCATTATCCCCAAAAGAAACCCCATACCAATTAACAATCATTCCTCATTTCCCAGCCAACCCCACCCCACACCCATTCTCTGGCAACGATTAATCTGTCTCTATTCATTTACCTATTCTGGACATTGCACATAAACAGAATCATACAATATGTGGTCTTTCACAACTGGCTTTTTCCACTTAGCATAACATTTTTGAAGTTCATTTGTGTGGAAGCATGTTTTGATACTTTATTCCTCTTTTTGCCCCCTTTTTGCCCCATAGTATTCTATTGTATGTACACACCATATTTTGCTTATCCATTCAGCAGTTGATAGACATTTGGTTGTTTCTCTGATGGCTACTGATGTTAGGCAGTTTTTCATGTACTAAATGTCTATCTGTGAAACTTCTTTGGAGAGAGTTGTATTCAGATTGATTTTTCATGTTTTAATTTGGCTATTTTTATTCTTATTTTTATTATTTATTATGGAGTTGCAAGACTATGTTATATATTCTAGATTAGATTCCTTTTTTGACTATTACAAAGTTACGCTATTATTTTATTAATTCAAAAGCACTTTACAAGAAAATAAAAGTATGGCTTCCAATAGGAATGTTACACCTGAACTTGATACCAAGCTCACAGATTTTAGTTTTGCAAGGAAAAACAGGCTTTCATGTTAAACAACAATTTGTAACCAAAACTTTAATCCCAAGGATTCTCACAAAACATATTACAAATGACAGCATGAAAAAAAACTTTTGCACAGTAACTCAAAGTTCAGCTCTACAATGTACCCTTAAACTGGCAGGACACTGGTATCTTGAAGTCTCAAATTTCCAAATGAATAATGTTACAAGGAGCTATGTATTCATATACAGCAATCACATAAGAAATTTATGACCTAAAGCAAAGAAAGGTAAACTAACTTTCTGAAAACTTCTTAGATTCTGCACTAACTGGACAACTTCTGCCCAGTGTAAAGACTAGTTGGATTTTTTTTTTAAATCTCTAATCTAGTTTAAGGGTGCAGCTTTAATTTTTACCTGCTGGTTTGTGTTCACAGCAGCTTTCAAAGGCTGCTTGTTCAACTACAGCTGCATGTTATATCCCAGCTATGGAAAGTCTTAAGTTCAATTTTTGTCAGTTTAGTTTCCATAATACTAAACATCACACTTTAGCTGGGAGAAGTTAAGAGATTTATTATCAGTTTATGCAAGACTCAAGTTCAAAGCAAAACCAATTTTGCTTAAGGGAACATTGTAAAGTAACAATTATTGGTATACATTGCCTCATATGATCCATTTCAAACCATAGAGAATTACATCTTCATGTCACTGTTCCAAGACAAAGGTGAACAGCTAAAATATCTTAAAAATGCACCAAGCTTATGAAGTCTCAAACAAAACTTGAATTTTCTGCACATACTCCTGTCAAATGAAGTTATTTCCTGTACACCACTCCTCTTGAAAACTGGTCTATTTCCTTTCATTTGACCTAGATCGGCTACGAGACCTAGAGAAAGATCAGGACGACTTGTGATTTCTTTCCCAAGACAGTGATCTCTCTCTTCTCCTATCCCTAGAAAGGGACCTGCTCCGGCTGCGGGAAAAGCTTCTCCATCTTGAAGATCTGCGACGAGGTGGAGGACTCCTTCTCCGATAATTATCTCTAGGGCGGCGACCCCAAGAGGGAGGTGGGCCACGATTTCGACTTCTCTTTTCACCATTCGACAGTTCCACTCTTACTCGGCAGCCACATAGTGTTCTCCCATCTAGCTCTCGAACAGCATCAGCTGAAGATCGGGGATCTTCAAATTCAACAAAAGCAAAGCCGGGAGGGTTTCTAGTAACCCACACACTTCGGAGTGGTCCATAATAGCCAAAAGCTCGTTCCAATTCAGTCTTGTTACCGTTGTTTCCAAGATTACCTACATAAACCTTACAATCCAATGGACAGGAATCACGATGCATCTCGAGATCTTGAATTAGAGACTCCACAGCTTAAATTCGCACACCTTCCGACGGCTCTTCCTCGCTCCTCCGCCCGGCTCCCACAGATGCTTTCCCCTACCCGGCGTCCACGAAATGGCCTAGATTAGATTCCTTTATGAGGTATGTGATTCAGAAATATTCTCCCAGTCTGTTTTTTTCATTTTCTTAATGGTGTCTTCCTAGTTTTTATTTTGAGAAAGTCTAACTTAAGGTCATAAAAATTTACTTCTTTTTTTCTTTTAAGACTTTTGTAGTTTTAGCTCTCACATTTAGGTCTATAATCCATTTTAATTAATTTCTGTGCATTATATAAGAGTCTACATTCATTCTTTTACATGTGGCTATCTAGTTGTTCCTATACCATCCTTTGATCTATATATCTGAATTTACATCAGTACCACACTGTCTTGCTTACTATACCTTTATACTAAGTTTTGAAATCATGAAATTTAAGTTATCCAACTTCATTCTTTCTCAAGACATTTTTTATTATTCTGAGTCCCTTGCATTTTCATATAAATTTTAGGATCAGCTTGTTGATTTTTGCGAAAAATAAATAATAAAAAACAGCAAGCAAGACAGAATTTTGATAGAGATTGCATTAAATTTGTAGGTCAGTTTGGAAAGAATTGACATCTTAATAATATTGAGTCTTCCACTTCATAAACATGCAATGTCTTTCTATTTATTAACATCCTTTTTACTTCTTTCAGCGATAGATTTTTCAGTGTAGAAGTCTTGCTATTTTGTTAAATTTATTTCTAAGTATCTTTTTTCCTATTGTGAATGAGATTGTTCTCTTAATTTTATTTGTCAGATATTCCATTGCTAGTAAATAGAAGTTCTATATATTTTTTCCAGGAATGATTATATATATATTCCTGTGACCTCGCTGAAGTTGTTTTTGTGGATAGCTTAACATTTTCTACATACTAATTCATGCAGTCTGCTAATAAGGACAGTTTTACTTCTGCCTCTTCAACCTGGATGCCTTTTATTTCTTTTTCTTGACTTATTGCACTAAGACTTCAAACATGATGTTGAATAGGAAGAGCAAGAGAAGAAATACTTTCCTGAAAATAGAAATAAATACTTTCCTTGTTCTTAATCTCTAGAAGAAAGCATTCAATCTTACACCATTAAGTATGATGTTACCTGTAAGGTGTTTATGCATCCTCTTTATCTGGCAGAGGAAGTTTCCTTCTAGTTCCATTTTCTTGAAATTTTTATCATTAATGGATGTTGGATTTTTGTCAAATTTGATTGCATCTATTTAAATAATCACATAGTTAGAAAATGTTTTCTTTATGAGTAAAAACAGAAGGTAGTTGTGCATTTCTTCCACTAAAACATTTGTAAGAAGAATTTATGCTATTAAATTTATTGCATACAAGATGAAGGAACTTGTCAAAAATTGTTAATTTATTTATGTGGGTATCTTAATTGTAAATCTAGACAGATAAGTCAAAGTATGCCACTCAGAAGATCTCTTTAACAAATGTATATAATTCAACCATCCAAATTAATCCCTCAGATTAAGTATTTTTCTATACAAAATATTCTATAGGGATGAGAGAAAGCATATTTGGCTGTTTAGTCAAGTGCAAGTTTTCACATTCAAACTGATTGAGCAAATTGACATTAAGACTGCACTTATTTTGCATAGATCCCATTGGATTCAGTATAGTTTACCAAACTTTAAAAATTATATACTTATTAGGTAGAAATAAAATTGCAATTTCAGAAGAGTCATACACTTTTATGCATTAAATCATACCTTCAATTTCCGCAGCTTTCTTTGAAGGAAACCTCACAATGTATCTAAAGTATTAAATACCCTTTTATAAGTGTGGCTCAGTTTCAAGAGGAACTGTTCAAGCTGAACATGAACTATGCCCCCCTAATAAGATATGAAATCCCTGGAATTTGAAGACATACCAGATCTGTCCAGAAAAAAAGTCCAGCCATTGTTAATATAACAAGAACAGTTTACACAACATTGATGTAAACTGGCATCCAAGGAGAGTGGGCAGGAATGTGCATGCATGAACAAAGATGACTTCATTGTACTAGTTAGTGGGCGTGGTAGACGCAGCTGAGTGAGCATGTACACTATGTGGCCATCGCATTCAAAATGACTGAGTGAGTAGAGCAATGAATCTGCATCATATTTTGTGTTAAGCTTGACCATTCCTCTGTGGGAACTATTCAGATGATTCAGAAGGCCGCAGGCATGGGCAACTGGTGATTGGCAGCTTCATCATGACAAAGTGCCCACTCATGCATCATGTCTTTTGCAGAGTTTTTTGGCAAAACATCAAGTCACCCAGGTGACTCAGCCTCCCTATAGCCCAGATCTGGTGCCCTGTGACTTCTGGCTTTTCGCAAAACTAAATTCACCTTTGGAAGGGAAGAGATTTCAGACCGTCATTGAGATTCAAGAAAATATGACAGGGTAGCTGATGGTGATTACAACAAAGGATTTTGCAAGTGTTTTAAAAAGTGTAAGAGACACTGAAATAAACTGCGTGAGGTCTCAAGGTGCCTACTTTGAAGGGGACTGAGGTGTCATTGTCCTATATACTTATTCTTGTATCTCATATTTTCTTTAATAAATGTTTCTATTTCCCATAGTACATGGCTGGATACTTTATGGACAGGCCTTTAGTATACTGGATAAAGAGTGCAGTGAGATCAGAAGGAATGTGGTATATAGGAGGAAAAGTGGAGAGGTCAACAGATTGAGGGTGTATTTTAGGAATTAGCTGGAAAGTCAGAAAATTAAAAAATAGAGTAAGATATTCAATGGGTAAATGTGGAGATGGTGTGGTTTTCTATGATGATGGTGTCCGCATGACAGTGGAATTGGGTGCCTGAGAGAGAGTGGGAAAGAAAGCCATTGAATATGAAGAGGTCAAAGAACTGAGCAGTCAGGGTATTGGAGTGTCCTGTATGGGACATTTAATTTAACCCCATAACGATGGGTATGAAAACTGTGACAAAGGAGCTAATAAATTTTTAATAAATGAGAAGAGTACAAAGAAAGTTAACAGATAATTCCAAGGCAAAAAAGAGAGGCTAATACACCCTCAAGAAAAAGATAGGGAGGGAGCAATGATCCAGAAGTGACAAATGAATCAGAAACTACTTTAATTAAGCTCTCTTTAAGAAGTGTAGATCCCATTCAATTTGTCAAATGTCAAGATTCATGTCAACTTTATCAAAAATTAATTAATGACCAGCACTTGACCTACAAATGTATGAATTTGTACAAATAAAGTTAATTAAACTGCTTTTGGACTAATTTAATATTTATATCAAAATCAACATTTTTATATAGCTAACAACCTATGCTTCACTGTTGTTATTTAATTTTTAAAAATTCGTGTATCTGTACCCACACAGAATTCTAATCACATGGGCACTGCATTGCTTGCCTGAGCTAACTGTCTTTATTCATCTTCTCTCTCACTCAAGAAGATATCAGAATACAAAGGACATCCTTGATTTTTAAAAATTTATAAATAAATAAATCTTAAATATTTACATTTTAAGTATTAGTAACACATTACCTGCTTCTAACCTTACAATTAAATACAATGCACCAATTTGTAAAGATTCTTAGTGCTGCCTATCTAAACTACTCGGGCTAGTCTTTTGAAATTCCTTTTCCCCTTTTTTGTTTCTAATGCCCAATATGAAAATGGAGTTGGATGAAGGTAAAAAGGAGCACAAAGTTAAACTTCTAGAAGGTTCTCCATGTTCTCTAGATCTGGCCTATACATGCCTACAGTTAATTATTTATAATTATTATTTATTTACCTAAAATAAGCCAGAGGCTTAATTTCAAGTTTGTCCTTGGACATGGTTCCTTTGAAGAAACTCAGAATTTTATCTGACTTTGGTATGGCTTTCAAATGTGTCATTTAAAACAGTCATTTAATTTTATTTTCATGAAAAAAAATCATGAATTGGCTTTAAAGGGAGAAGTCTGAGGGTAGAAGAGCTTCCTGATACTTCTGTTTTCTGGGTGCCTCCCCATTTCCTGATTATCTCAACCCCACTCCCACCTCAATAAGCTTTCTATTAAACACTTTTCCAGCTAAATCTCTCTGAGAGTGCCATTTGTTCTCTGCTGGGATCCTCACTCTGCCCTTACCGAAAAAAATTTAAATTGTGTTCAATGTTCTTCAAACTCTACTTACCCAGACAGTTGGGTGCTTGGGAACCAGTAATAACAAGTCAATATGTGCTCTACAGAGCACTAGTTCTGGAGTCCACCTTGGCAAGATGCTGTGCTGAGTTTCACTTAACCTCACAAGGAATTAAGCAAGCGTGTGTGTCCATAGTCTCATCTTCCTTGTGTAGTTGCTATGCCACTGTACATGGGTGATGCCTGTTCATTATTATATACACAGTGGGCAAAGGAGCAAGATGGTACTGTTGGTGCAGAAATTGTAGCCAGATGACAGATGATAGTGATGTGGTTTGCTAAAGGTGATTTTTGTAACCATATGTACAGGAGGTGTTTTAGGGTGACATATTTGGGAGCATGATGAGGTTAGCCCTGTGACCTGGCCAAATTTCTCTTTAGAGAGAATATTTCATTACCATGAACCAGAACAAGTCTTCTGCCAGAAAATGGGGAAATTCAAAATTTATGCTCACCAAACATCCCTCCTCAGCCCCCTATCTCTTGGTATGTTGTGCTGGGGATATATGCTTTGCACTAATCACAGGAAACCATGACTTTTACAAGACACGTCAAATGGTTCATTTTCACAGAGCTATCAACTGAGTCCTTTGTGAGATATTCTGAGCTCTTTGGGAAGCTGTTAAAGGTTATTAGAAAAAAAAATAGTCAGTATGGTCAAACACATCTGAAAAACACTGTGTTAAACAAAATGAACCAGCTTTCTGAAGAAATGCTCAGAAGCTTTGATACGCTACTGTGCATTAAGAATTTGGTATGCCATGTTTCCCAGCCTGCGTATAACAGGGAACCTTTTTGTCAAGAGCACACCCATGACACATTGGTCAACATTCTCCTGTGATTGGAAACATTGTAGGTGTGTGGGCAGGGTGGGGGAGGTGTTATTGAAAACAGCAGGATAGTAAGCAGGTATTTAATGGAAGGAGTTCA